CAAAGAACTGGAAATAAAGTAAATACCAGTCAATCTGAAGAATGGCTAAACAAGTTGTAACATTTGGAATAGAATATTACTGTAAGGAATGGTGATTCTGAAGAGAGACCAAGTGAAGTGATTAAAAATGAAATCAACAGAACCAGAAAACCCATTGTTTTTCTTTCTTTAAATTTTTTTTAAGCTGAACAAACACCAAATAAAATGGGCATTTCCACTTAGATGTAAGCACACACAGAGAGGGTTATATTATCCACAGCTTGGTTCTCTTTTCAAATGTGTAAAGAATTCAATGCTTAGCTCTCACAACTGTCCTGCTTAGCAGTGATTTTTTCCTGGTCTTCTTTCAACTCTCTTCGGTGCAATTTAAAAAAATGTTCCGTATGACCCTTTTTTTCTTTCTTTGAACACAAATGACTACAACAGTACAAATAGAAAGAACAAAAAAGTCAAAATGTAACACTGTGTAATTAGACTGACTGAGCTTGCACCTCCCTCCCTTTCCTGCAGAGGTGAGGGATGGCTGCATATACTGTCAGATAGGGTGGATATGGGCATTAGTTTTGCTGACAGCTTCCCTCTCCCCCTTTAAACATTTTTGTTTTAAGGGATGACTAGGGCAAGGGGGAAGGATAGATTTGGAAGTGAAGGTTATTTAAACAAAAGGGGTTTTTTTAAACAATTTAAAAGAAATGTGGGTTGGATCATAGCCTCGTTAATTGAATGTCTATCTAGTTGAACATATAGCCCCAAAATATTGATTAACTCATGGGCCAGATGGCTTTTAAGGAATGCCAGGAGGCTCCCTACAGAGCTTTGTCCTGTTGAATTTTTCTATCAGTGAGTACATAGACATGAGGATATGCTTATCTAATCTGTTGGAAATAAAAATTTGCAATTGGGTTAATTAATACAACGTACCATCTGAATCAGAGAATCTCAATCAGATGAGTGAAACCAAGATAAAATTTAAGAGGAGTCGAAGTCTTGAATTTAAGTTTGTTGAGGAAGATGCTAGGCTAGGCAGGAGTCCAGGTGAGCCAAAGATATGAAAAACTTTTTTTTAAATTTAAGGCCACATTGATAGAAATAGTATCCAATTGGAAGAAGGTAATAGTATCCCTGTTCTCTGTGCTGGTCAGAACACATCTGGAATATTATGTTCAATCTCTGCAGCAAATCATAAAGGGGACATCCAAAAGAATATGGCCAATCTGGAATATTATGTTCAATCTCTGCAGCAAATCATAAAGGGGACATCCAAAAGAATATGGCCAATCAGGCAATATGCACTTATTAAAACACGTACTATGAGATGCTGGAAATACAGAGATGAAAGTGAAACAGTCCTTGGCCTCAGGAAGTTTGTGATCTATGGGCAGAAACAACATGTGTACCTATAAAGATATAGACAACACAACGAAGTAAATTACAAGGTTGGTTAGCTGTCCTTCCTTCTTAAACAGGCCCAAAATGACATCACTATGTTGGGGTCAAGGTACGGTGTGTGCAACTGTGCTTGATGAGACCAATTCGAGCTCGGAAGGCTCTACCACAGGTTGGGCACAAATAGTCCACATGAACATTTGGGATGGAGATGTCTCAAATTGTGAATCTCATTTCTTTCAAGCTACTGCAGTTCTGCTTTGCTTATAGAGCACAGCTCCTTCTTTGATGAGGGCATTTCTTTTTTTATTTAATTACATTTGTTTATTTGGTTTGGGTTTTCAATATTCACTTCTATAAGATTTTGAGTTCTAAATTTTCCCCCCTTCCCTTCCTCCCCCCCTCCCCAAGACAGAGTGCAATCTGATCTAGGCTCTACATATACATTTCTATTACACATAGTTTCACATCAGTCATGTTGTAAAGAAGAATTAGAGCCAATGGGAGGAACCACGAGAAAGAGGAAACAAGCCAAGGAGAGAGAGCGAGAGCGAATGGCCTGCTCTGATCCGCACTCGGGCTCCATGGCTCTTTCTCTGGGTGTGGATACCGTCTTCCATCATGAGTCTTTTGGAGCTGTCTTACATCCTTGCTTTGCTGAGAAGAGCCAAGTCTATCAAAGTCACCGTACAATGTTGCTGTTACTATGTGCATTTTACAATGTTCTCCTGGTTCTGCTCATTTCACTCAGCTTCAGTTCGTGTAAGTCTTTCCAGATTTTTCTGAAGTCCGTGAGGGCACGTCTTGATGGAAAGTCCTGTGCTAGTGTCTCCCGTGTCACACGATTGATTCCAGAGATCTTTAGAGACCTTGAGAGAGTCCTTGTATCACTTCTTCTGACCTCCACATGAGCACTCATGTGAGTCTTCTGTAAAATAGCTTTTTAAGCAAATATACATTTGGCATTTGAACAACATGGCCAGCCCATTGGAGTTGTGCTCTCTGCAGTAGACTTTGAATACTTGGCAGTTTAGTTTAGAAAGGACCTCAGCCTCCAGTACTTTATCTTGCCAGGTTATCTTCAGAATCATCCTAAGACAATCCAAAGAGATTCAGTGTCCTGGCATGATGCCAGTATACTGTCCAGGTTTCACAGGCATACAAAAATGAGGTCAGCACAACAACTCTGTAGACCTTCAGTTTGGTAGGCAATCTAATACCTCTTCTCTCCCATACTTTCCTTTGGAGCCTCCCAAACACTGAGCTAGCTCTAACAATTTGTGCATCGACCTCATTATTTGTGTGTACATCCCTAGAAAGTATACTGCCAAGGTAAGTGAACTTATCCACAGCCTTCTAAATTTCAGCATTTGCTGTAACCGATGGTTCCACATATGGATAGTGTGGTACTGGCTGGTGGAGAACCTGTTTTCTTGGTGTTAATTGTTAGGCCAAAATTAGCACAAGCAGAAGAGAATCAATCTGTATTTTGTTGCATTTCAGCCTCAGAGGCTGCGTTGAGTGAGTGCACAATCTTCTGTGAACAAAAAGTCATACAGGGGCAGCTAGGTGGTGCAGTGGATAGAGCACCGGCCCTGAAGTCAGGAGGGCCTGAGTTCAAATCCAGCCTCAGACCAAACACTTGACACTTACTAGCTGTGTGACCACAGGCAAGTCACTTAACCCCAGTTGCCTAAAAAAAAAAGTCATGCACCAACTCTCCCTCCACTTTAGTCTCATCTTGTAGCCTTTTCAAGTTAATAATTTACCATCAGTGCAGTAACTGACCTTGATGCCATTTTCATCCTCATTGAAGGCATCTGACAGCATGGCTGAAAACATCCTACTAAAAAGCATGGGAACACATAGCCCTGCTTCTCTCCATTAGTGACTGGGAAAGCATAAGAACTTTGTCCATTATCCAGAACCTGTGCAAGCATGCCACCATGGAACTGGAGTACAATACTGATAAATTTTTCTGGACAACAAAATTGTGGCATAATTTTCCAGAAGCGCTCATGACTGACAGTATGACTGGGGTGTAGGGTGTTCAGAGAAAACTAGCACCTCTGGTATGAAGGCTGCTGAGCCCTTTTCAGGGTTGCTTTCCATCTTTGGTATCTGATTCACCTAACTCTCCCTGTGACTCCATGAAACAGTAGCAAGCGCAGTGGCCACACCCTATATGACTGTCTTGGCAGACAGGCTTAACTAGGTTGAGGGTAACTGAGGGATCTCAAGCCTGTTGCTGAGTTACAGGGATGTCTACCCCCAAGCACATGAAGACTTCTTCTGGTGGAATGGGCAGATGAGAACAATTTGTTCCAACAGCCAAGAGGGTGACCTGAAACAGGTGTCATGGAGCTTAGAGCTTGGTTAGACATTGAAGACACCAAGGTCATCCACTACATCCCAAGCCATTGCCAGTCATCTTGACTTTTGTCCTGCCACTGGACTCTGATGTATCTGGAAGAGAGAGTGAGGTTGACAACTTTGAGCAACTCTGCCTCACTTAAATGCACTTTGTGTACCAGCGAAAAGACATTACCCACTCTAATGAGGTCATGTTCTCTATGTCTTGTTTGGTCATAAATGCTTCCCTTCTCCAAAGGTCTGACAAGTAAACTATTCCTTGTTCTCCTAATTTGCTTATGGTATCACCTTTTACGTCTAAATCATACAGCCATTTTGATCTTATGTTGGTATACGGTGTGAGAGGTTTCTGCCATGCTCTTTTCCTGTTTTCCCAGCAGTTTTTGTCAAATAGTGAGTTCTTATCCCAGAAGCTGGGGTCTTTGGGTTTATCAAATGGTAGATTACTATAGTTACTGACTACTGTGTCTTGTGTACCTAATCTATTTCACAAATCCACCACTCTATTTCTTAGCCAGTAGTAAATAGTTTTGATGGTTTCCACTTTATAATATAGTTTTATATCTGGTATGGCTAGACCACCTTCCTTTCCATTTTTTTCCCATTAATTCCCTTGGCATTCTTGACATTTTGCTCTTCCAGATTTGTTATTATTTTTCTTACCTCCATAAAATATTTTTTGGTAGTTTGATTGGTATGGCACTCTAAGTAAATTAATTAATAAGCAAATTAATGTAATAAATAAATAAGTAAATTAGAATTGTCATTTTTATTATATTAGTTCAGCCTACCCATGAGCGATTGACATTTTTCCAGTCGTTTAGATCTGACTTCATGTGTGAAAAGTGTTTTGCAATTGTGTTCATGTAGTTCCTGGAAACTGCCCCCAATCTTACAACAACAACAACAAAAACTGTCCCCATTGTATCTCCATAATATATAGTATACCTAATATCTATGCTACAATATATAGTATAATAATATAGTATACCTCAGAGTCAGGTTTATGTGGACAAAGTCTACAGTTTCCCTCCCTGGCTCATGTCCAAAGGGTGTGGAAGGCAATTTATTTGTGGGAAGTGCTAGAGTTGATGGAATCCCTAGATTTCTTTGTCCTAGGGCAAAGTTTCTAAAGTGAAAAGAAAGCCACAAAGAAACAGAGGTTGTGTAGGTTTTCTTGGTTGTTAACTGGGAACATAATTACAGAGTTGAATTAATATTTTTTCCTTCTCCCATTACAGATATGTTGGACATCACCACTGCTTGCTCGACGGCTAATAAAGCACAGAAGGGCCAAATTCCTGTCTTTTGGTTCTGCCATAGTGTAAGTTTTCAGAAGAGCAAGGGAGCTGCCCCTACTAGAGATATGCCACTTCATGTCTGTCTTAGGTCAGTTTTCAGTCAAAGTCTGTGCCCAGCCTTGCAGAGCCCAGAGTAGGTACAGTAGGATCAGGTTCCGCATTCTTTATTACTCCTCTCTTTCCTCTATCCCTGATTGTCACTGTAATCACCACGACATGAAATTTCCAGGTCCTGTTGATGATTTTTCCAAACCACTAAGGGAAGAAAAGATAGGAGGACACAAGACATGGAAACAAGTACCACATATTCCAGTGCTCACCCTTTTTATTTTCTTTCTGCCAAATAAGATTAGGAAGACTCCAGATTTATGGATCATAGATTTTTAAACTGGGAGAGATTTTTGCCCTCTAGTAATGTACCATGTGGGGCAGTGATAAAGCACTGGGCTTGCAACCAGGAAGTTCGGCCCTCAAATTCATCCTCAGACACTTAGTAGCTGTGTGTCCCCGGGCAAGTCACTGAACCTCTATTTGCCTCACTGCCTCATCTATTTAAAAAAAAAAAAGAAGACACACCAGAGCAGGAAATGGCGCACCACTCCAGTATCTTTGCCAAGAAAACCCCATGGACTGAAGTCCACAGGGTCACCTAGAGTGAACAACACAACATATAGAGCATGTGACAAGCCAGATAACTATTACACAAGCTGCCCAGGGCAACAGAAACATCAAGCTAGACTTACACTCACATTAACCCAGAGCATGCAAACAACACGCACATCATCACTTCTAGGAGCAAACCGCCAACCCGACTCCTAAAGGTCCAGGTCATCGTGGCGCATGCCAGTGTTCCCAGCAAAGTGCTCTCTCTGCACAGCCAGAAGCCAAGGGTCACTCTCCAAGGTTCTGTGCCATCAATCAGCACTGCTCTCAAGTGCGTTCAGAACGCTCCAGTGCCAAGTTGGGGTGGGGGCTGGGAGGTGAACAGTTAATACTGTGTAGTTATAATCACCAATCCTGGCCCTAGAAAAGATCTGAGAAAATGTCCCTCACTCCCTTCACTTTAGGGGTTGGGGACTTCCAGTGTGGGGAACAGCATAGCTAGCTTTCAGACAGAGTTGATGTGTACAGCTGCTCTTGGCCAAGGTACATCTCCCTCTTTCTCTCTCTCTCTCTCTCTCTCTCTCTCTCTCTCTCTCTCTCTCTCTCTCTCTCTCTCTCTCTCTCTCTCTCTCTCTCTCACTGTCTCTTTGTCTCCCTCTCATTCTCTGTCTCTGTCTCTCATTCTTTTCTCTTTCATTCTCTTTGTCTCTGTCTCATTCTCTCTCATTCTCTTTCTCTCTCTGTCTCTCCTCTCCTCTCTCTTTATAATCTTTGTTACAAGGGATAGCTTACTGGGTATGGAAGGGAGGAATATAATTGGGAATGAGTGTGATGGAAAAAAACAGAAAGCATCAATGAAAGTATTTGTCCAATCCCTTATTCCTTCTCTCTGTCCCATGAGCTCAATAGTTCCTTCCCCACTCTTACCTACAAATAGCCTACATCCTTAAAAAACCCACACTAGACCTTACCATCCTCAGCCATTGTCCTTTCTTCTTCTTTTTTTTCATTGGAGCATTTTTATTTGTATGTATGTTTTACACCCTTAACAAAAGAATCCCAGGATTTTTCCTCCTGTGTGTTTTCGTATTGCTTCCTCATGGTCCATGATGTCAGCTGAGGTTGTAAGCACAATGAACCCAAACTGCCAGGATGGTAGCAGATTATTCTGCCGCTTTTCCAGATCTTTCGACTGAACATCAAATCTGGGGCTGATTACAGCACACTTGTTTAATCTGCCCATGAGGTTCACAGCAATTTTTCCTGCTCTGTGATCATCGATGATCTCAAATTTACCAATGTAACCACACTTCACCATCACAGTTAAGAACCGGACAACTACTTTAAAGCATGGCCTAGTGAGAACCTGGCGTTTTCCTTGCTTTTCTGCATTGTTGATGCTTTTGAGAGCACCTGCCAGGACGTTCATGCGCACCATGGTGGTAGCACTGTGAGATGGTGGAAAGAGCATCCTTTCTTCTTTTTGTCAACGCCAAACTCCCAGAAAGAATCTCAACTACACCTATGGCTTCTGCTTCTCTTCCCATTCCCTCCTTAACTTCTTGCAGTCTGGTTTTTAACCCCATTGCTCAGCTGGGGCTGCTCTCTCCCAGGTTTCCAAAACTTTCTTCACTGCTAAATCTGATGACTTTTTCTCAGTCTGTCATGCTTGGACCTTCTATAACCTTTGATTCTGTTGCCCACCCTGACCCTGGACACTCTCTCTTCTCTTGACTCAGGACACTGGTTGATCTTTGCCGTTCCTTCTCAGTTTCCTTTGCTGGATCACCCAGTTCCTATCTCCTTAGTAGGAGTATTCCCCAAAGTTCTCTACAGCGGCCTTTTCTTCTTCTCTGTGGTTCTCGGTGATCTCATTGGCTCTCCTAGGTTTGAGCATCATCTTTACACAGATGCCTCCCAAGTCTACGGAGAAGTGTGATCATGAATTCTACTTGTACACCTCAATTGCCTGCTCAGTTAACACCTCCTTGGATGTCCCATGGGCATAAAACGAACAAACAAACATTCATTCCCTTTGCAGCCAGATCTGAGACACTTATTACCTGTGCGACTTTAGACAATTCCTTTAACCTCCCTAGATTTCAGGTTCCTCCTCTGTAAAATGAGAGGGTTGGGTTGGATGACATCTGAGAGCTTAGGATCTTATGTCTCCCCTCCTCCACCGTGCTCCTCCTCCACACTTCCCTATTTCCATAACCTCAGTGCCAACCACACTTCATTATTTCTTCTCCTTCCAGCCCCCTCCCCCTCAATCCAATCAATCGTTGTATGGACAACTCTATTTCCCCATTTCTTGCATTTACCACTTCTCTGCATTCACATGGCCCTAGTTCAGGAGCATGTATGTATGTATGTATGCATAGATGCAAATACATGTGTATACTCACATGTAGATACATGTACAAACACATATAGACCATGCATGCACACACATATATATCACACACATATATATATGTTGTTGCTGTTTCGTTATTCGGTTGTATCCAACTCTTTGTGAACCCTTTCAAGATTTTCTTGGTGAAGATACTAGAGTGGATTGCCATTTCCTTCTCTAGCTCATTTTACAGATGAAGAAACTGAGGCAAATAGGGTGCAGTGATTAAGTGACTTGCCCAAGGTCACATAGCTAGTAAATGAGGTTGGATTTGAACTCGGGTCTTCCAGATTCCAGGCCCGCCACTCTAGCCACTGCACCACCTAGCTGACATACATATACATATACATATACATATACATATACATATACATATACATATACATATACATATACATATATACATACACATACACATACACACATGGGTATGGGTATGCATGTGTATATGCACACATGTATGTATGTGTGTGTATATACACACATGTGTATGTTTTATATATGTATATATGTATAGTGTGTGTGCGCGCACGCACACACACATACACACATATATAGCATATGTAAATTTCCCCTGGAGTAGGCAGGTGCCCTAGAGTTTCTAGTTTGGGACTGCAAAAGTTATTATAATTTTGTACACCCAGGTCCTTTTTCTCTCTCATTGGGATAAAAGAAAAAAGGGGCACCTTTATTCTTTCTTACAAACCATTCCTTTAGCAAGGTACATAGTTTCTCCTCTCCACCTCTCAGACTATTTCTTTTAGTTCAAATCTCAGCTATCACCCCGTCCATAGGAATACTTGTTGTCAGGTACCCTGACGTTCTGGGTGGCTAAGAATAAAAAGCCAGTCCAGGAGCAGCTGTCCCTTCTGGCTCGACTGACCGACCAGCATGGCCAATGCACAGTTACAAGTAGGGATGCTGTATCCAACTGAATCGATGCTGTACCTTTGCTGAATATCCTTTCCCCCTCTGTAGAGGGGAACTGTTAACCATTAGATGGCCTGAGTGTCTCATTCCATTCCAAATCCAAATACATTGTTACTGTGCCCTTAATTTTTCCCTTTTTGTGCCCAATATTAGTGCACAGGTTATCAGACTAGTAGAATTGAAGTTCCTTGAGAGCAGGGATTTTTCTTTTCATGTCTTGACAAAGTCCCTCAAAGAACAGCCTCTTGATCCTTGTTAAAATACATTTAACTAAGACAATTTTTTAAGAAGGGTACAAATGCATTTAGCCATAATCTATAGTCCTTGGGGAAACTGTTTAAACCACCAGCAGGTATTCTGAGTGTGAATCAAACCCAAAAGATGACTTGATGCTTTTCTACTAGACATTTTTTTTCCTTGCCAGTTGCCAAGCTGCAGGCCAGCCAAATTCATTTTCCGTGCCCCAACATGCCCAACCCCAAAATGAGCACCATTTAGTGTACTCTGGACCTCAGCTGGCTTTGTGGCTTGGGGCAGCACAGACTAGTGAAGCCATCTTTGCCTCTCGTAATGACAGGACAGAAATTTAAATTATTAAATTAAATTTAAGCTCCTATAACAGGTCAGTTTTAAGTGACCTTTTCCTTCATCATAAAAGAACAATCTGGCCGCCAAAGATAGTTTCTCTACCTCTCTCCACCATTCACATGCATTTTTCCTGGGCACTAAACAAGTTAACCCTGTGTATAAAGAATTGCAGATTTTCTAAGCCAGCTTTCCTTGAGAGAAATTGATGAGGCAAGTACATGACTAGATCATTCAACACAGGTTGTGTGCTTGGGTTTTTTTTTTTAAGGCAACTGGAGTTAAGTGACTTGCCCACAGTCACACAGCTAAGTGTGAAGTGTTTGGTCTGAAGCCGCATTTGAACTCAGGTCCTCCTGACTTCAAGGCTGGTGCTCTATCCACTGCATCACCTAGCTGCCCCCCAGGTTGTGTGTTCTTAAGATTTCCAGAATTGGAGACCCCAACAATCTTTCCTTTTGTAGCCCATTAGAGCAGGCTACTAAATTAAAATACCTCCCCAATTAGCTAGTCATTCTCTTCCGCTTAGTCACTCCAAAAGTATTGACAGCCTTGCACTAACCCTTCTTATAGAATAAAGCAAGTGGATCAGCCCCTTTCTGGCATCCCCTC